TTATGTTGTAAATTAACTCTTTTGCAGATTTGTAAACTCTTTTGCGAATACGAGTTTCAATATTAATAAAGGAATCAATTAAAACTTATATCTTTCTGCCTTTTTGTATCTTCATATAGTCTGACGTGATCCCTACACATTATTTGTAATTGAGTTCGTCATTTGAATTCTTTAATTAAAATTATTCATAATCTCATCTTTCAAGTCTTCATACTTGATAGATTCGTTTAAGTTCAACGCGTAAATCTGATAAAGTTAAGAGTTAGGCAGAACCTAACGTCTTAATCGCATTGAACCGCAATAAGCTGTAGTTAAGAAATTTCAAGTAGAGACTTGATAACATGACTATCTTGAGTTGAAGAATTCCACAGTGACAATATTCATTTGAAATGGTATTTCCAGAAATATATCTTTTCAAGTGGCTATTATGACAGTAACAGGCGCTATAAAAAGTTGCAGGTATGAAAACTAAGAAGTCACATACAGTAGCTTCCAAAAAAACGTATCACTATATTGTTTATTATTAATCATATACTTTATGATTAATAAATAAAATCTGATTATTTGAATATTTATTAAATATATAATATACTATAAGATCTTATAATACAGCATTTTAATATTACTTGATAAATCAGAAAATTTTTATCACGTGATTATTTATTAAATGATAGTATGTTTAATATAGCACTTTTGTAAATATAACAAATTTATTAAATTTTTTTAAAAACAACTAAATTAATCCTAATTAAAAATTTTACCAAATATTCTTACTATTGAGTATAACCACCTTTTACTTTGATTACATCATTTATTCTTTCTAATATTGAATATATCAATTTGATGCATATTTCTAATGCAATTTCTTCTCATATCTTATGAATTTGCTCCCATAATATATCCTTCTCTCTAATTTCAATATCTAATGCTCTAATACGACAATCTACATCATTCTACAAGTGTTCAATTGGATTCAAGTCAGAAGATTGTAGTAGCCAAGGTAAAAGCTCTACATTATTGTCTTCAAACCATTTTTTAATTAGTATAGCAGTATGTTTAGGGTCATTATCTTGCATAAAGATAATATTATCAGTACTTAATTTATAATACTGCAAAGTCTTCATAAATTCTTCATCTAAAATCTTACGATAAAGTTCTGCGTTAAGCTTACCATTTATTTTATAAAAATAACCTACACTACAATTTGTAAAAAATCCCCATACAAAAATACTTCTATCATCAAACTTAACAGTAGGTTTAATATGAGTATTTTGAAGGGGTTCTCCTATTTTTTTCCAATAATACTCATGTTTATCTGAACCAAATATTTGAAATTTAGACTCATCTGACCATACAATCTTGTTCTATTCATTTATTATCTAATCCTTATATCTCTTTGCAAATTTAAGGCATTTTTCACAATGTTTTTTTGATAAAAGTGGCTTTTTACGCTTTACTTGAGCTACCAAACCATTTCTTTTCAAAGCTCTACAAATAGTGTTAGTGTTGACTTCAATATTATCAGAAGTTTTTAGTGATTTTTGAAGTTGAATTGCAATTGTACATTCCTTTGTTATTAAACGATTTATAAGAGAACATTCATCTTGCTCATTCAGTTTTCTTGGATAACCTGAACCTGGTTTGTTTTCAAGTTTACCAGTCTCTTCATACTTTTTTTTTAAGTCTTGAAATGGTTGTATGGCTTTTACAACTAACTTTGATGGCAATTTCTCTTAAAGCAAAGCCGTTTTTAAGCAGTATAATTGCTTGTGCTCTCTATTCAAAAGTTAACTGAACCTTAAAATAATAATACAAAAAAAAGGTTTTTAAAGGAATGTGAATATGCAAAAGGAAGTGTTTACTAAAAAAAAATTTTTTTTATTTGGTGTTTATTTTTTTTTTATCAAATGACAAAAATAACGCACCATGGTTTTGAAAAAAAAATGTATGTAGATCAATCTATGTAATACAAAAAAGAAGATCTACATCTGTATTACTTATTTAAAAAATATTAAATTAAAACAAATTTATTGTTGATTATAAAACATGTGACTAGTAATAAGCAATATAGTGGTGCGTTTTTTTTGGAAGCCACTGTATACAACAATATACGTATATAATTTGTTTGATGAGCGTGAACTTTATCATTTTCGTATAATTTTCATACATTATAATATATCCATTCTTCGAAAGGATTCTTGGATTCTCTTCAAGTATTTTCCTAAATGGATCACAGATACAAGAGCACTATATTTCTGGTGTTTCATGATCATATTGTTCACTTAAAGAACATAATACTTCTAATATTCTTCTATATTCTTCAAAGTTTACATCACTATAGCTTACAGAAATTAGCTTATATTGGGCTCTACTATCTAAATCCATAATAGTGTTTTAGTAGATTATAACAGATTATAACGATTTTAAAGTATTTTATCGATTTTAGCTGATTTAAGCAATATTATACTATAATAAAACCATATTCATTTTTAGGTGGAAAAAATTTTCCTGATGTTATGATTCGGCTAAATTAGATCCGATCACCATAGACGGCTAAATTATAAAATTTGTATCACATATGATCTCCCTAGTTCCCTGTCAGTTCCTCGATAGTTCTAGGAGTGTTCGCGAGTTTCTATAAATCACGAGATGATCGGCTAACCCTGCAATCATAATCAAAAAACACTAGGGCCCGATGTTGGCATACACAAGTTAAAAAATAACTGATAAGCGTATGATCATACAGTGAGTAAAAAAATGATATTCATCAAATTTCGGTAGCTGTGACCAGGGTGAGTAAAATTTGGCGCAGTGGCATTTATTAGTTCGATTTGCTATTGCATAGTCAACATTGTGCTTTAAAAAATCCGTATTTATCCGGATTAAAGACATAAATTAAGAAAATCACATTAGTTTAGCGTTACATCACAGTATAAATTTTAAAAGATATAAACCCCGAGGGCAACTAATAAACGCTTTATTGATTTTTACATATGATTTAGGTGTATATTTATCGCAACCATGATATGCAGATTGATAAAAAGTAAAAGATTATTATTTATAACATGAAAAGAAAAGTATCAAATGTTGAAATAATAGCAAAAAAGTCAGGTTTTCAATCACGTTCATTAATTTTTACGCTTTTTGGGGGTCTGTTTCGTGTAGCAGTCTCCTTCGTCGGATGATTCTAGTGAACCATTGGTTTCATATCGGCTTTCTAAATTATCCCAGACCTGATTCGCGAAAGTAACCCTTTCTTTGAATGCCCACATCATTCGCAGAACGAATGGAAGTTTTGTAATGCTATTATTTGAAAAATTCATTGATCCAATTTTTCGAACTACATAATATACTCCATTTCATATAGATCTTGTGTATATCCGTAACATTGTGAACCGTACACACATAAACCATCCTTAGGTATCTTATAGCCTAGTTCACGTTTTTTTTTTCTTGGACATATGAAGCATATCCCTCATTTTTCGGCTGTTTTCCTTCTATCTTGGTTTTGTGGTGCAAAAGATATTTCTAAAACAAAGCTTTCGTGTCCGTCATCCGACAGTCCTGTCCCATCCCCCTTATGACCCGTTGAAACTTTTGGAAGAGTAAGAATATCCCGGCCACCGTCTTTTCTTAATGCTGTTGAATCCAATTCGACCTCCCCCATGTATATTCCATATTTCCGTCACGTATTGCTTTTCCCGTTGTAAAGCTAATTACTGTACTCCACATAGCTTCAGTAGTCGAAGGGTGTGAGATGATATTTCTTTTACTTTCAAATTCACTAATAAAGATATGTGTGACCAGTAACGCATATTGTTCAAACATGGTAATCTCATTTTCACCTATATCGACCCAAACTCGCGCAAATTTCTGTAATAGAGACCGCTTATCGTTTTCATTCTCTTGAAAAATGGGTTTAAGTCTCTCCAGTAAATTTTCTTCTGCGAGACACAGTTGCTTGCCTCGGATTTGCACTCAGTCTTCTTTCGAACACACTGATTTGAGCACATCATTTCGAAATGTTTTAACAATGCAATCATGCTCCAAACTCCATGGATTCAATTCAATCTTGAGCAAATATTTATCCCACACATTGGTAAAGTTCTCGTTGGATTTAAGAATACATGGCAGTATTTGTCTTGGGCTCTCCATCATTACTGTACATTTTTCATTAGTTGTAGACGACGATACTTGCTCATTTTCATTAGTTGAGGTGTCTTTATGCACATCTGAAATGATTTCAGAAAGAGATTCGAAGCACCACCTGATGCAGATGAAAAAAATTCATTTATGGGATCAGAACTCCACATTGACTCATAATCTTTTTCATTATCGTTATCTACAACTATCGTTTTCTTTCTTACGACTTCATGGGGATAGGAGGATTTTCGCTTTAAAGGTACTAATTCTACAGCATAAAAAAGGGTTAATACACAATTCGACACCTAATGTAAAATGAGTTTGATTGTATTACCGGTAGCTTCTTTTACATTCGCGTTGCGTATGTTTTCGATTTCTGTCCTGGCCGTACGATGTTCCTGACAGAACAGTCAGTAAGATTATTGCAAGTTTTATTCTAGGTTTACTTTATGACTCACCTCTAATGCTTGTAGCGTACTTGCAGATGCAACATTTCGTCTTATCACCACATTAAATTCCTTTTTTCATTTTTTAATTCAATTCGTCGATGAAACGTTTTACAGCGACTGAAGAGAATATCTTATCATAGTTTGACAGAAGTTTCTTCGCCTTTTTTTTGGCATACTCGTTTGCATAGCATTTTCCGCCTAAACTCTGTAGTAGCGAATAAAGGTCATCCTTGAGGGTATTATTGATTATATATTCAGATAATTCGGTTTTTGGCTCTACGTATCGCAAGACATTAACAATCGACCATTCCTTATATAAGGTTTTGTCGAAGTTACTCGTTCAATAGTGATTCAAACATCTTAAAAAACGACTACGATTCCATGACGCGTAACTCTCAGTATGTGATGTCTGATCATCTGATCGATCTGCATAATAATATATATACCATCATTTCGGAAAAGCAAGCTCTTTCACGCGCATCCCTACTAACGTATGGCCATTGCTTCCTGCGTTAGATGCTTGGCACTAGTCTGCAGAAATTTCCTTGGGCATGCGTGCTCAAGGCCTTGCCCTGGATGCTAGTGTCCAGGTTGCGTCGTGTATACCTACTGGCATACGGCCATTGCTTCCTGTGTCAGATGTTTGGAAGCATTCTGCAGGAATATTTCCTTTTGTATGCGTGCTTAAGGCCTTGCCCTGCATGATGTTTCCAGTATACCGTGACTGAGACGCCAACCGCCACTGTCCACTCAAAAAAAAAACAAAGAAAAGTTACAGTCAGTTATTTTTTTTTATTTTTTGAGAAAAATTTTCGATGCATTCAATACTCAAAGTTGGTGAAATTTTATTAATGATTTTTCAGATAGATAGTGAATCAGAAAATGCTGGAAGCGAATGATGCTATCAAAGAGGGAGGGAGTACGCGGATCCTAGGCCATTTAATGCGAGTCCCAGCATCAAGTTATTTCTTT